AAAATATTTAATAATCATAATGATCAACAGTATTACAGTTTATATCAGTTACTTACATCAGCAAACTTGTGGTTCCTGAAATGCGACTTGTTGCACTTGAGCAGCTGAACGGCCAAATTACAGTCCTGCCTGTAACGCTCCTAAAGAGGGAGAATCATACTGCTGTTACTGCTGTCTGCAGGTTCTGTTGCTATTACTCTTACTGTTACTGTTGCTCTTACTGCTGTCTGCAGGTTCTGTTACTGTTACTCTTTCTGTTACTGTTACTGCTGTCTGCAGGTCCTGTTACTCTTACTGTTGCTGTTACTGCTGTCTGCAGGACAGGTGGCTTAATAAATCTTGAAGTGAAGGATCTTAGTCAGTGTTTTTTAAATAGTAATTCTCAAACCTCCTTAAAAGGAACAAACCTAAGTTGAACATGAGAAAAGGAGTCGCCAAAACAAACTTTAATAAAACTCACATTGAGCTCCTCCAGTCGGTCAATGGTGTTTTTGGCATCCAGCAGTTTGTTGGTGAGCTCCACGATCTCCTGGTCCATTGTCTTTTTGTCCCGCTCCACCTTCCGTAGCTGTGAAGGAGGGGGCAGGGGGCAGAGACATCATGTTAGGTCATCAACTGTCAATCACAGCTGACACAGCCAATAGAGGCGGCAGGAGGCGGGCCTTCAGCAGAATATCTACATTCAGATCATATGGGAATAAGCTTAAAAATACACATTTATAAAATATTCATACAATTAAACTGGTTAGAATCGATGGAGATGCCATGTTTGTAGTTTTCTGTAGAGTTTAGTTATCCTGAACTTTTTCTTCATATTTCACATTTTTTTAAAAACGTCTCCCACAAACTGAACACGTGCTTCATCTCACATTAAACTTTACACTTCACGCTGGTTTGAACTTTAACTTCACCATTTAAAACCTGAGGTGTTTTAAAGTTGTAGTTTCTACAGTTTTCCCAGATAATTTGAATGCTGCATTAGCTAGCAGCACTTCACAGGTGCATTATGGGATGGTGTGGCTGCTGCAAGAGGATCAATTAGATCGATAAGATCTTGATCAAAGCGCCAAAGCTGAAAGATGAAATACTTTCATCAAGTTTCTTCCTGCACTGAGAAAAAAAAATGAAAAAAAGCAGCCACTTAGCAGCTAACACCAGCTAACACCAGCTAACACAGCTAGCATTAAGTAAACGTTTCTGTTACCATGGAGTTTCTGTCGTCACTGATCTTTTCTCACAAACAGCCCGAACGTGGCGGGGTCGTATATGGGTGCAGTCAGGTGTCACAGCAGAACTATAGACACAGTATGCTAACTGCTAATGATGCTAACATTAGCTGGTGTTTCTCCTCACCTGAACCAACCTCACTTCTTACATTAATGAATCATGTCTATTGCACAGCATCATGAACCTAACTTATACCCTTATATGGTGCTGGTCTGACCTCTGGCTCCACCCACATCACAGGAAAAAAAGGAATGTTATCAGATATAATATTATGTATAACAATAGATAACATTTCCACTGGAATTAATTGAATTTGTTTTAAAATGTCACTGTTTGAAAAGCTGCTGTGTCCAGGCCTTTAGAGCAGGGATGGGAATCAAGAACCAGTTCCAGATGAGAACCGGTTCCAAATCATCTGAACCATCAGAATCTATGTTCCTGCAGCGTGTCTTTCAGAGCCGGGCGCTCCTGAACGCTCATCACACAAGTTGTAGGGCTACACAAATGACTGTGTTCGACTCCTGTGTCAAAGCAGGTGTCAGTGTTTAGAGGAGGACGCGTCGTTCACTTCGCTCGTGTGAAGAGAATAAAACACCGTGAGATTAAACTGTGGGAAGAGAAATCACGTCGACTTGTTCTCAGACCAACAGGTGGAACAAACTGTTGTAACGGACGGAGGATTGAGCACTGGGGTGTGACTGTGTGGCAGAAACCTGTGTTGCCCTATTTGTTTTTTTCCACTGGGGGAATTGATCAGGAATCGTGAAGGGAATCAATAAAGAATCAGACCAATAAGTAGAATCAATAATGGCACTGGTATCAATAAAATCCTATCCATTCCCATCCCTACTATAGAGAGGACCAATCAGGTTCATCGATCATCTACTGATCATAGATTTACTCTTAACTACAAGCAAAAATACAAACAAACTAAAATCATTGATCAGTCGTCAGGACGAATTTGAACGTCAAGTCCAAGGTGGGTTTAAAAGAAGTGACTGCTCAGGCAGGTCAACTGACATCACCACATTGTTGACATAGCAACAATAACTAAGTGGGGGCGGTACCTCCTGTAGGATTGGTCATCGTTCTCCTCAGGCAGAACTTCATTGATAAAATCATTGTTTTAACAGATAAAAGTAAAAGGACAGTTTGATGCTGAGAGCAGGACTTGATGTTCAAACACCTTCAGACCGAAAAACATCTGAGAGAAAGAAAGGTGAGGAGGAGGAGGAGGATGGAGAGAGGAGAGATGTGATGAGGAGCAGGAGGAGAACATGAATGAAACGCAACTGCATGAACCCATGTCTGACTGACGGCAGCCTGATGAGGATGAAGAGGAAGATGGTGAAGAAGATGAAGGTGAGTCAATCCATCAGAGAGCAGCGTGAGAGGAAGAGGAGAAAAAGAAAGAGAGAAGATGAAGAACGGCGTCAGACAAAACACACAAAGACAAACAGGAAGTTGATATCGAAGAGATTTTAATCAAACCTGAAACTTTATGAATAATTTAACAAAACTACTTGAGTATAAAAACAAAGTCTGATCATTTAATTTTAAAGTTAATTTGTGGAACCACAATATGTCTGAAACTGATCATTAAAATTAAATGAGTCAGAAGTTGTTTTTAGTTAAAACCTCAAACTAAACAAAGAAGTTTCGCTGGAAACATGAAAAGTTTTCTTTAGAAACATTCACGAGAAACATTTCAGGATTTCACTGAAAAAGTTATAAAATAAATATAAAGTCAAATTGATGCATTTCATGGAAGAAGTTGTGATATTTAAAGTCATTATTAATATATGAAATAAATTTCACTTAATTAACAAATTAATATTTCATCAAAACTTTGATTTGTATTTATTTATTTGCTGAATTAACCAAAGATGATCTGTAATCAGCTGATCTATTATAAAATCAATACTAGTTTTAACTCATTAATAAAAACTATGATGAAATATGTCCGTCAGCGACGTCATTAAACAGAGACAATATCAATCATCCTTAATCCTGCGGCAGGTGTTAATGAACTAATTAAATATTCAGTCACATGACGTCACTGAGTCACAGTTAAAACAAAGTCAGGTGGTAACCATGGTAACGTTTACTTTATTTTAACTTTCTATTTCTTCATCTTTTATTTTTCTTTGCTGCGCTACACTGACTGATGACAGTGACCTCTGACCTCTTGCTCTGTCACCCATGGCAACCACCCTGCTGTCAGTCAGATCCACTTTTCCACAGTTAATCAATACGCAGCGTCAGAGCGTGTTATCATTTAGTCATCGATCAGTTATTAGCCGAGTGATCAATAAGCCACACACACACACACACACACACACACACACACACACACACACACACACACACACACGCTGTAGAGAAAACATAAACCATCAAATATTGATCAGTAAGATGCATACACACACACACACACACACATATACATACACACACACACACACACACACACACACACACACACACACACACACACACACACACACACACACTCAGGAGGTTTTGGACCAATCAGGAGCTTCGTTACTGAGCTGACAGGATGAGGACGACTCCACAGTGACGACAGTAACGAGGCTCATTAAACTAACGAGCAGAATAAATCTAAATAAATGAATCCAGTAAAATCAGGAGGTTTTCTGTGTCACTGCAGAACAAACAGACTGAATCTGAAAACCTGAAACTCTCAGCTGATCAGAGGTCAAAGGTCAGGGGAAGAAAGTGAAAGTTTACCAGAGCGTGAAGCTTCTCCTCCAGATCCTGATTGGCTCTCTGAGACGCTGTGTAGCTGTTCTGGAGTCTGCAGAGAGAGAGAGAGAGAGAGAGATGTGTTGTAGAGTATGCTAACTCGCCCTCAGAGGACAGACTGGAGATCCGCTGTTTAAACAGGACTGTGATTTATTATTAGAATTTATTATTTATTACTCAAAGTGAATGTTGTTTTCCTTGGGAAGGTTTTTGTGGCGTCATCGCTGAGTCACAGCTGAATGATACATCACTGTATTCATATAACCTTTGCTTGTTGGGTTAGCAAGGTATAGCTTAGCTGAGTCATAGCTGAGTCATCGCTGAGTCATCGCTGAGTCATAGCTGAGTCATAGCAGAGTTATAGCTGAGTCATAGCAGAGTCATAGCTGAGTCATAGCTGAGTCATCGCTGAGTCATAGCTGAGTCATCGCTGAGTCATAGCAGAGTTATAGCAGAGTTATAGCAGAGTCATAGCTGAGTCATCGCTGAGTCATAGCAGCATCAAAGCTGAATTATAGCAGCGTCATAGCAGAGTTATAGCAGAGTTATAGCAGAGTTATAGCAGAGTCATAGCTGAGTCATCGCTGAGTCATAGCTGAGTCTTAGCAGAGTTATAGCTGAGTCATAGCTGAGTCATAGCAGAGTCAAAGCAGAGTTATACCTGAGTCATAGCTGAGTCATCGCTGAGTCATAGCTGAGTCTTAGCAGAGTTATAGCTGAGTCATAGCTGAGTCATAGCAGCGTCAAAGCTGAGTTATAGCAGAGTTATAGCAGAGTTATAGCAGAATGTTAGCTGAGTCTTAGTTGAATCATAGAGAAGTTGTAGTTGAATCTCAGCCAAGCCAAACCTGACTAACAGCTGAGTCACAGCCCAGTCAAGCAGACCGATGTGTCCTCTGAGTGGAAATTAAAAATCTTCTGCAGAGACTAATTAAGAAACATTTCAGGGTCAAAACTATAAAAAAAAAATTGTCTCAGCTGGTTGAACACCCCCCCCCCCCCCCCAC